GCAAATAAATCAATAAACGTTTCTACGGTAAAAACAACATCTGGCTTTTTATAACAATCATAGTTCTTGATATCTGATGGATATCTACATCTTATGATTTGTTTTATCAATGCTGGCCACTCATATGTCTCATAATTTTTCGAAGTTAATTTTTTTTGCTGCCGTTTACGAAGAACCAGAACATATAATTCGTGGTACAAATCGTGTCGGTTTTCGACGTCCTCGGCACTTTCCAGTGCATTTAGTTGTTGTTGTTGTTGCGATGTGGCTGTTGGTAGTGAAGCAGGAGGATCATATTTGTATTCTAAACTAACGTCGCTGTGTGTATCAGTAGTATCGTTATTGTCGTTGTCCAAAGAAAACATTTCGTCGTCGTCGCCGTCGTCATTATTGTTTGCGAGTTGCGCTTGTAAAGAGATTTGAGATACAGACGAAGGAATATCAAAAATAGCAGTGAGATCGGACGGGAAAAGAACGTTTCTTTTTTGAAACATTGTTTTCAAAAAATTATATGCTATAGTAAAGTTATTTAGATTCATCTAGAAAGAATGAAAGGCAGTAAAATAAAATTATCTTGTTATTTCTGACAAGAAATTGTTATTCCAAGTAGAGTTCGAGATAACAAATTGTTTGAGCTGATCAATTGCGTGGTTACCGGAAAACCTTTTCTTCGGTTCAACACGATGCAGATAGAACATTCATGTACTCATATGTCATATCCTTGATCACAACAAAACTAAGTGTTCAAAATTACTATTTTTTATTTGAGCGACATAAAAAAAATCCATAAGCATTTTCAAACTGTTTTAGTAAGCTCCAGGCATATAAGAATCATCCGCTTCATCGTGTGTTTTGTTAATATTTGAGAGCAACGAATTCATTGAGTTTCTTGCTGACTTTGACTTTGTACGAGCCTCAGTAGAGGTTCGTTGTTGATCCAGTCGTTGAAATATTGAAGACGTAAATGTACCACTAGATCCTGAAAGATTCAAAACTTAGAACACAAACTGTTGTTATAGTTATTCAATTTCATACCAAGTAGACTCTCAAAAAGAGGCAGTAATGACTGGTAACCATCATTGTAAACAATAACAGATAGAGCTACGCAGAAATCAATGATTGTACCACTTGAGGAACGACTCTTCGGTGCCATTGACCATAGTACAGAGTGATAAGATTCGTTGGGATTTTGAGTAGATCCATTTAAAACTCGAGAAAGATTTTCGTCTATAATAAAAAAAGAAAAACAACAACCAAAGCACCATTGAATTTTGAAAATAAGAGTATTTAGTACTTATCTAATGAATAATCGCATAAAACCAAACAATAAACAATGAAAACCATAGCATACAAAATTATAACAGTCGAAAAGTATAGCAAAGAGCTGAATTTCACACTTACGAGAAGCCAGTTCCTCGAACACAGGTCGGATAGCTTTCATTACTCCCTTTGGAAGAGAATGTGGTGCATGGTCGTATTCTTCGCCTAGAAAAATATGAATCTGCTATTTGAAAAATCCCTAAATGTTTCTAATTGCTGATACCTTTCTCAAGCGCTTTCCAAAAACCACAATAAGCTGGTGAACACCACTCATGATATGGATCTGAATTTGTGGATGACTAAAATGACAGAAATTTCGCAGTTATTTATGAAGTAACGTAGATCTCAGAACGTTTTACTTTGTGTTTATAAATTGCCCATACGGCTTTGACCATGTCATCAAGATTGGTTTTATTTCGAACAATTGCTTGACGATAATAATATTTAAAGTTAATAATCATATCTAGTAAGTAGATGCATGTTAAAATATACATATAACACGTGCACGAAGATTGTGGTCTCACTTTGAGTTAGACGATTCGAACCAGAGATTCCTTTTTTGCCATCAATTAACTCATTTTTTACTTCATTTCTGACCTTCTCTAGGCGGTGCTGCATTTTTTTACACCACTAAAAATACAGAAAGGCTGACTTATGGACAAGAAAATGATTTTTTAGCTCACGTGATTCACATCTTCGATTTTCTCCACTATTAAATCTGGATATGGCGGTTCGTTGTGCAGCTTCATCATTGTTTTTGTATCGCCATCACCAATATACCTACAATAAAAACGAGGAAGCACAAAGAATCGTGTATCAACCGGGAAAAGTTTACAAAAGTAGAATACTTATCTAATTCAAAATGAAAAGGCTTAAAAGAAATGATTGCAAAATAAATCATGAAAGCGCAGAGTTCACTCCACACTGCTTATAGACATTACTTTGAATATCGAACATTGTATCGATCAATAGAACGACAGAAGAGACGATGGATGCCATCCATTTCCATAGCACCTACAAGTGTTAGATAGTCGGAAATCAGAAAGACAAAATGAGTATGAGGAATTTACCGGAAGAGCCTTTATAATTCAGTTGACATTGGTGGATACTCATGACATGCTCAAATTTTACTGGATCAGATTGCTGTATACTCTTCGCACCATCACAAACTGTACATCGTTTTGATAATCGTTCAATATCAAGTACCTATAGAAGACAGTATAATAAATATAAGACAAACACTTCTAAAGTGTATTACTTTAGGCACATCTGAACTGGATATGACAGCAGCAACACCATTATGATTACTAAAACCACGTTTTTGCCAGCTTCCATCGCCGCTGACAACTAAGTCTCTAGAACCTGCTTCAGCACACGCACCTTCAACTGCATTTTGCATTCTAAATGTAAAACACTAGTTGAAAAATGATACAGTGATTTTTTTAAATAATGAACGTACGACTTTTGTTGTTGTTCAATAGCCGAGGGCAGAATTTGATTGAGCAAATTAGAAAAGTGGTCTTCGTCAACGGGTGCCGGTAAATTCATTGCGCCACACAGTTTCAACATGCCTGCGTGCCCTAAGCCGGCTAAATGTGCGCCTTCAGAAAAGAGAAAAAAATTGTTTTAGTTATGAGAAAATATCTCGGCCATTATGAGCATACCAATTATAGAGCGGACGCTCGCATCTCTGAATTTTGACTTTTCACATTGCTTGGAGGTGTTAACTTTGATTGTATGCCCACATGTGCATATAAATTCCAACGAACAGTACAATCCTAAACAAAAAAAATAGAAAACACAAAGCACCTTTTTGCGATAGAAAAAAACGATAAAATTATACTTATCTAATTCATTTGTCATTCAAAATCGCCTAATAGCTGCATAAAAAATTATTTTTCTATATGTTTAAAAAAAAACAGCGAAATGATAATTGCAAAACGATGAATCAGCCTTGAGAAAACTGCAATACTTCTTTTATGTACCTTCTCTTTTTCTTATTGACATGGCTCCATTCCATGCATCACTACAACTAGTACATGTTGTATTTCTCATCAGTTGTAATAAGAAATCATTATGGATAATTTGATAAAAGTCTAAAGAATCTTTTGTCGTAGAAGTTGCTTCAGGTTTGTTCGACTGATGCTGTTCTTGTTCTTCATATTGTCGAAGTCGTTTGAATGAAGGCCCAACATGATTTCGAATTTTGTAAGCGGAACTTGGTGTGTAGGATTGAGAGCACGTAGTTAGTTGTTGTGAAGAAGGAGTAATTTGAAGTGAACACAGTGGCAAACGACAGGTTTTCGGGGTTATAAGTGGTCCAGTTTGGTTAGACGAGAGTGCAGAAAAACAAGATGACGGTGGTGCATTTTCTTTATTCGATGTTGAGCTTGAACGAGAATGAACGAGTGTTTTAGAAAGTTTAGATCGAATAGTAGAGCCGAAAAGAGACCGACGACGTGGCATCTAAAAGAGATATGAAAAAAATTCAAGAATTATGAGCAATAATAACGTTTAAAAATTAAAATCGAGAAAATATTCACGCAACAGACAGAAAATATTCAAACTTGAAGTTCAACACATATGACTATTGCAATTATACGATCGAAAACCTTGTTTTTTACGAAACTTGATCAAAATGAACTACTATAGTGTGGGCACTATCATATACATTCTCACCGCCATGTCTTTCATAAGCGTAGTCGTTTCTGCTTAGAGTCCTTTA